CCTGATATGGCTAACAAATGTAGTGAAAATAGACGTCACTCAGTCACGTGGTTAAGGTGAGAGCACCACCCTTACTACTGTCATTAAACTCGAAGCTAACTCTACGGCGAATTGACGAAGTCGATTCTCAACTTTCGACTTGAGAATGGTGAATATGTTTGCTTATTTCATTTTCAATTCTAATGATGTAGATCATTTTTTAACTACATAAGTATTATGTAATATTTTGAATTTTGAAATCTTGTAGGTAGATGAAATTATTTCGTCTAATTAAACTTTCTTTTACTGTCTAAGGTCCACTAAACAAAGTTAAAATTCCTAATTTGCGAAGGCCTGATTTAAATCAATATGCAACTGTATAAAAAATAATAAGGACGTAATGCAAATCTAACCTTAGATCAATTCTTAACGTACTCCACATTTGAATAAAACTAAACATTGCACCATACAGCCCAGATATGACTTCTGAGCACCATTTCAAAAGCTAAACGAGTGCAATCGAGAACGTATAGTAGTGGTAACACCCGTTACATGCGAGTTATATTTACTCCGGGGCGCGAGAGAAATAAACCACACGCGACCTACCGATGCGATGGTTACTTTGGCGGCCGATGGTGCTCTGCTTACCAACTACCAATGGTGATACACATCATTTTGTTTCTATGCTACACTATCTAGGACTATCATTATTGATTTACACTTTACTATCCCACTAGTAAATGCTAAAGTATGTAAGATATATTTCAGCTAGAGCTATAAGAAATCTATGTTACATTTTTGCATCGAGAAAGATTATAGTCTGGACTTTACATCTCAGACATGTTAGAGAACATCAGTAGAAGTTAGTGATCACAATAAATGAAGACTTCGAAGTGTAAGTTTGGTTGCATATTGCATGTGTATCTATTGGATCTACTGTCTTCTCAAAACATATGTTTTGAAGTAATTATACGGCCTAGTAACCACTGCATTTAGATATGATTGATTTGAGATTCCAAAACCCATGTGCTACGCCTAATCGAGGCAATAAATTCAACGATGTCGCAATATTTCACCAGCTCTTACGTGTTTAGAAACCACGATCAAGTTTTGTTGTTACTTTGTAATGGCTGGTAATAGTAATTCATAATATCCTGAGCTGACCATTTGGATTTTAATTCAAAGTTAAATAACGTGTTCCCACAATAAAAGCAGGACAGTTATGAAGGTCTTAAATCAAGTGAGGAGCGGTGGTCATCAGCAATTTGGTTATCAGTAGTGGGCCGATAAATAAATATTTATGTGGCAACATTATGCGGGCGAAATTATGACAATTTAAACAATTATACGGTTAACGAGAAACGAACGTCACTGAGGGTGGCCTGCCGAGATGTTGAGACAGGGAGGTAGCTCTACATGCTCCGTAGTTCGTGAACATGAATCAACAGCAGTGTACTGAATAAACCACGAGGTTTATAGTACACTGAAAATTATATAATATTTTTTTATATTAGAATATAATTACTAAAACTTTTATAATTATTGTATTATTAAAATTCTTTTTATTCCTAATTAATGAAAATTATATATAAATAATTTTCCAAATACCCACCGAAATAGATTAATTACAACTTTATTTTGGGATAGATATTTCTTAATTAACTCACATACATACCCATCTAGATTTAATCTTAGTTATTTTAATTATAAGCTGCGCACATCTTGGTCTAGGTTAAATACCTGGGGTCTAAGGATTTTAATTGTCTGGAAAGTGTGGGATCGAAATCTAGAATTATAAAATCCTTCATACTTTAACATTAGGTACATATAAATAATCTAAACGGTATAAAAATAACGCAGACGTTTTTTTCATATCGTTCTGGGTTCATACATATGTCGGGTTTACGACAGTATCTAAGCATAAGTGCATTCCCCGTCTAGATTTATATTATGATCCTCCACTGCCAGACGACGTCTAGACATCATCAAAATACTTTATTATAACATCAAGTAGAGCCACATTTCACCCGTACTCGCCCACCGAATGTTAGCGTTTTGCGCGCGCACCAACATTATAATTTATTTTGTCATTTTTGCATTAAGATGACTTACTACCGCAGGCAGGCTGCAATGAAGACATCTCGAAATTCGACCATCTGGACAATTTTACGCGAACTCTAACTTTTATTGAAGTCTCTTTAAGTAATGTGGAAGTTTTGGTTTTGACGTATATGACATTCATTGATATTTGTAGTGCTTTATTGGTTCTTTTTAGGTACTGTAATAATTAAAGGCATGTATAGATAATATAGTACATATACTTTATAAGATCATTGTTAAACGGATTTGTATCAAATAAAGGTGAGAACGTAAATACGTTTATAAAGACATTGTAAAAATAAAGGTGAATAAACGAATGCAGAAAACTCCAAGAAAATGTCAAAATCGAATGAAAATAAACATAAAACCAACAAATTATTCAACTGCATAAGAATAAACAGTGACTCTTGCGCCGAAATCTTTACAAAATAAAAGAGCATAAAAACAAAACAAAACGGTTTTTGTCAAACAATTGTTTTTGGCGTTCCCACAACAGTAATTACAAACACGTGTTGTCAAACAATACTCTTTTATAACACCTTTAAAGCTGAATATTATTGTTTTATAAAAACCTTTGAACAGTTTTGGGGTTTTGTCGCAAAGGATATTCCCACCTGTTAGTAATCAGTAAAGCTTAGGTCCCACTCTTTGTAAGGTAGATTATTGGAACACATGTTTCGGATTTGCCACAAATTCCTTTTTTGTTGGATGAGTGCAGCGGCCTTTTTTGTGTTTTCTCTAATTGCTATCTATTAGTTTGTGTTATATTAAATAGTGTTACGTATTTTTCAATTTAGAAGAACATGGTTTTATTAATTATCTTAAACGTAAATATGTTCATATTTTATAAAGGAAAAAATTGTGTGAGAAAAATCATTCCATCATTCCTTTGGCTTAAGCTGTTTGCCAATCATGCGCTATAAGTTTATTAGGCGAAGTAAGTACGTACTCGCGAAAAAAATTAGGCAATGCTGCGTAGACCGAGGTGTAAAAATCTTCCTCTATATCTTCGCTATTACATTAAAAACAACCTTTGTAAAAATTTTAAATATTTATTTGATACTGTCACGAACGTTTGCAAACCTCTTCAAACACAGAACTGAGACTCAAGTAACCTGCCATTCGCAACATATTAAAATTGCTACCACACTGCAAGTTTTTTTTACTGTCTAACTACCCGTAATCCCTTAAATTCGTATGACAACCAACGACAAATAATGTTGAAGATTATACGTTTTAAATACATGAATAACAATAGACAGCATTTAAGGCTTCCAATCATATCCTTAATACCTGGAATCAGGATCTTCGTTTCCCACAGGAAGGATGAATGATTGAGACCTAACGGTGTTGAGACCAATTGCCTCACATCCGGTAAAGAAAGATAAAAAAAGGTAAACAGTGTGAACACTATGTTGTTGTTCGGTGATCGTACTCTCAGGTAGATGATCTCATTCATCGTGGTTATGAATGACCGCTCCTTTAGGGGTCCCTTAGAGAGGTGATTGAAAAAGATGACCCTTTTTTTAATCTACGCATTGCTATTGATTTAGTAATTTATTGAGTGACATGCAAATAGACGAGAGAAAAAGAGTTAATGAACAGCTTAGCTTTTATTTTAGTGCTCATAGTAGGTGTGTTCAATACACGGATATCATTAGATTGCTGTGGCTGCGAGTTAGATTTATTTTATATTTATTGCGATAATTTTTTAAGACATTCCAGTACATACTTCCCTGTTGCTACGTTACTTCTGTCTGCATTCTGCTACCTATCAAACTTTTAATTTAATCAATACAGAACCCAACGTCAAAAGTGCCCTCCATTTTTTTTAAAACCGAACACAAAAACGTCCATCCCTGGTGGCCGGAACTTACCTTTTGTCGTGTACTATTGAGAGAAGCACGTGCGTCACGGTGTGAAGGCGGCCTTCGTTTGTATATGAATTACTGCTAATAGGCACAGGCTAATAGCTCCCATGCAGATCTTGGAGATGTATTTTACCAGTTTCTCTTTAAACTTACCCGTGGGACATAGTGGGGTCCGAAAAGTGAAGTTATTTTTTTTACTTTAAAGGACTATTTGTGTTTCTGCACTACATGTATAAAAGGCACCTCATAGTGCAAACAGTGTAAGCAATGTTTTGGTTCAGTTTATCGCGCTTGTGATGGAGTGATAAAATAGCATCATATCAATCAAGAGACATTTTAAAAGACAACTTTTGAAATAGTATAACAAAGTAAATTAAATTGTGAAATACATTTTAAAGTGATCTATAAACATTCATTCAGTGATAGAATTGGAAACACGAAGAAGTTAAAATCGACCGTTTTTCTTAAGATACTTTGTTAAAAACCATTGACATAAAATAAGTGATAAAAAAATAATTTAAAAATGATAAGGATAATGAATATTTGGGAGTACAGCAACAAGGTCGCGAGTCTACGCTTGAGGTCAAAGCTACGGTACGTCTACGCGGCGCGCTACAGCGTCTCCGTAGACAGCGCTACGAAGCGAAAGTCGTTAGTTGAAAATCTCGGCTACAGTGGGTAACAACTTATTGGGTACTAGACAACACGCTCTACGTACTCTCATGTACATTTTCATACAAAAATATTGATAGTAACAAATTTTCTTTTATAGTGCCTAATTACTGAATAAACATAAGTTAAATAAAAATAATTTTAAAACAATAGTCTACTAGTTTCTTGAAAACTTTTTAAAACTTATTTTCATAGTGAAAACTTTCACTGAACCTGAATCGATAGCAGCCCAATCAAACAATCGACATGGTACCCACTAATTACATATAACAAGCGCAAATTAATCATCAGACGAGATAAATTAGCGACGCGTGCTCGGTCCGTACCGCGACTATTTCGGTGTGGGCGGGGAATGATTCAGTCGGGGCCAGTCGCGCGCCGACCGCTCTCGGGAGAACATAGGCGCACCGCGAACGAGCAGGGAGTCACCGAGCGCTGTTGCGATGGCGCGATGAAGACAGAAAGGCGCGCGGCGTTGTGGGCTCTGCTGTCCCTGTGCTGTGCCGCCCTCGCCGCGCCGCGCCGCCTCTACTGCGACCGCGCCGACGTCGCCTGGCGCGCCTACCGCGCGCCGGCCGCCTTCGAGGCGCGCGTCCAGTCGCTCGCCAAAGACGCTGCCACCGTGCAGATCAAGCGCGTCTTCCGCCACCAGGGCCACTGGCCGCACGAGAACGCCGTCATCCGCCTCAAACTGCCGCCCGACCACCTCGACTGCTCGGGTCGGTTCGAAGTGCCTTTGAAAAATAGACGGAACTATATCGTGTTCGCCGAAAGGCGCGGCCACTCCGCCGTCGCCCTCGGCCCGCCCATCAAGAGGACCGGCAAGTTGGTTAAGAGGATTCGTGCTGTCTACAAGCCGGGTTACAGTGAGTGAACAGTGTTTTATTAGGACGTGGTGTGATGCGAGCCGCGCGGTCATATGGAACTTGAAGACACGTACAAAGGTATACAAATATCACAATTTTTAATTCAATTTTCGATCAAACGTTCTATCAAATTCCATGTGATCATGCATGCTATAATAAGTCGCGTCGATTCGTGAATATATCATTAGCCGTACATAGAACTTTAAAACGAATAATACTGCGAGCAAATATGCGATGACAGCAGGTGTATCGTAGGAACAAGTAGCCATTATGAGTCCATTTTAGGCTCAGCAGTGAATAGTGGTCGGCAAACGTGGTCGGCTGCAAAACATACTAAGCGCATGCCACTTACTCGTACAAAGCCGGACCTCATTTATGCACCCTTCATAAGCGGTCAGGTGGATAGGAAACAGATAACACAAGCGAAACTTAAACCGTACTTACATCATTCATGGTAAGTACAATGGACATATGAAACATAATCACCTCCAGTTCCATAAAGTTGTTTTTCTTGACAAATCCTTGACACATTTTGTTATGAAATGAAACACGAAAAAAATGAGATGAGATTCAAAAATTACGAAATGGGTACGAAATTATTTTTTAAGTAGAACACTACATAAAACAAAGAAGCAACGTAGATACACAGGCCGATCGAAAACAACAGCGCAATAAATTATAGCCTACCTAATTGTAATTTGTGGGTACGACAAGTTTATCTTTATACTTATATCACTTTGCGAAGCTTTCCCACTAACAGTAGGAGGAGATACCACGGAACTGATACTAACGTCAATTGGTATCATTTCCGTGCGAAAATTATCACTTAGTTCACATAGTATAATTGACGTTCGATGTGAACAGACGTGTGCATTATACATACTGTTGAATTAACGTAAGAGTGACCTACTAAATTATTTTTGCTTAGATTGAAATTTAGTATTTTATAATGGAAACATAATCATATTTGAATAAAAATGGATAAAATCCCGAGCAACCTGGCTTCCTGTGCCTCACCAATAGAAAGCAGCCGTAAATCTGACTTCTCTATAGAAGCTGTGTCCACGCCCGACATTCAGAACTGGATGGCAAGCATTGAACAGCAGTTAAATGAAGTATGTGTCATTGCAACGGAAGGCAAACTCAATTCGGAGCAAAAGCTTAGAATATCAAACCTGAGCCGTAAAATTGGAGCTGATGTCTCGCAAATGGCTGTCCTTTATCAAGCTCTGAAGCAGCAAGCTCGCCTAGCCGTCAACATAATGGATGAATTGAGAGAAAACTGTGACCTATCGGAACAAATTGACGAGATTAAAAAATCTCTCAAGGACTCAACTACAGCCAAGACTGTGTCTTTTGCGGACATGGTGAGAAAAGGATCCGATTTCGTTCGACCAAACAATCTGGCCTCTGTCGCTGTGTATCCAGCCAATAAATTGAAAACTAGCGAGGAAACTAAAACTATGGTGCAAACAATTATAAGTCCTAGTGAGATGAAGCTGCGCGTGCGTGGAGTCCGCAAGACACAAAACGGAGGTGTAATAATCAGCACTGAGTCGAAACAGGATGCTGAAAAAGTGAAGCAAGCAGTTGGCCTGTCGTTATCCGGTCTTCTCGCAGACGAACCAAAGAAGCGCAAACCACGAATCGCAGTAATAGGAGTGCCGTCGACAATGACAGATGCTGACGTCTTCAGGTATATTTATGACCAGAACGTATCTGACAAGCTCCCGGAGATGACAATGGAGTGTTTTTTAACATCAGTCAAGCTAAGTCACAAATCGGGAAGAAAGGATGCGCCGACCTGCAATTTCATCATCGAAGTTCCAGGCAAGATACGTAAAGCCCTTATATCTCAAGAGAGAATTTATATCAATTGGACTTCCTGCCCCGTTAGAGACTTTACGCTTGTAACGCGATGCTACAATTGCCAACTATATGGACACGCAGCAAAATCATGCAGAGAGATCAACTCATCGTGTGGCCACTGCGGAGAAGCAGGACATGTACAATCCTCGTGCACTAAAAAGTTGGAATCCCCTAAATGTGCTACATGCTCTCGTTACAATAAGCCCAATAAACATAAAACCGGAGACACTGACTGTCCGGCTAGGAAAATAGCTGAATATAGGTATATCAACTCTATCGATTATGAGGACGCGTAAAGTGTCATATTCTCAGATTACAGAGTTGATTAGCCTTTCCTTGCACATTCATTAACATCGTAATAGGTTGACGTACTCAACAATTTGTTGCTGTTCAAGCATATTTTATTGTAACATCGAGTGAATGACCGTTTGGACTGTAAACTAGATTATGTTTCTGTTGATGTATTAAATTCTTCAGTACTATAGTTCCTACAATGTTTTATATATATATGTATATCTATGTTTTGTATTTAAGGTAATATAATTACTTGTTTAATAAATGTACTTTTACGATAATATTAATATTTAGTTACCTATCATAATATGTAGTTATGGACGTGTGTATGTATGTATGTATGTATGTATATTATATAATCAACTTTACGTTAATTTTGATCGATTACTTATGTTAAGGAATTTGATTATATAAATAACTTGTCCTAGAATTAGTAATATTGTGAGTGCTCCTTTCGCCTGTGATACAGGATATTCTTCCTAGTACAGGCATTCAAACCTAGTGAGATCTCTGATTGTAAATTAAGATGTTTATCTGTACCATGACCAATTTCTTATAATGAATAAAGATTATAAAGATTATAAAGATTATAAAGTAAAATTAATTGCAATCGTTAAAGACGATGATCTATCTAATTACCCTAAAATTGCTTCTACAAATAACGTTTTGATCTTGTACGCTCATTATCGTAGAGTACAGGTATACTCACAAACTTCCTGGGTACAGTCACACTATAGATATCTTAAACTTTAAGATTATTATTATCACTGCCACCACACGACATGTGTCTACACATAGAAAATTGTGTAGTATGAAATTAATTACTCTTACATACTTCACTACATTTACGAAACCACGTGTTTAATAAAAATACGATAACGAAAGTAAAACATTAAAATGGCAATATTCTGACATTTCTGCCATCAGTCTCAGACGATTCAATCAATAAAAAAAATCATGACTGATAAGGATGCCCTGAAAAGATAATACTAGAAAAACAAAAAGGTTTATTCATAGTGTAGGATTATGGAAATGCACCCACATGTCATCAAAAACTTGAGCACATTGTAATGAAATTTGGATGATACGGACAAAATAAAAATGAGTGTAAAGATATAAATTCAATAATGATAAACTGATGATCCGTTGCGGCTGCGACTGAATGGGGTGACGTCATTGCACGCTCTAGTTCGGACTTGTCGTTGCCAGTTGCGATCTCTTACGTGAACTTTTGGCTACTGCTTTATTGTCAAAACTATTGATTTATACCTCGTTTTGGTGATTTATTGGGTGTTTTACAGAGAAAACACCTCAGTATTAAAAGTATCACCAAAACCATAAAGCCGAATACACAAGAAAAATCCATGGCACTGGACACATGGCACAAATTGTAACTAATTTTGAGGAATATTGAACTTACCGCAGTACAAAAGCCGCGGAGGAATTATTGGGTAACCGGGGATACAACTCAAAGAGCAGAAGTAATAACGGGATGGTTTTTAGTTAGGAAGAGTCTGACACTCCCTCTCGCCTCATCCAAGCTGGGAGAAGCATTGGATGCTTTTCCCCACTCAAAAGACAACCATGGTATAAAGATCAATTACTAATCATCAAATTATGAATCACTCCCTTTTCTGAAAAGCATTTGTTGTTTTTCTTCTAACATTGTTAATACTAGAACAATTTTGGAATCCCTTATTTTACAAATTCGTGTAATTCATGTATCATCCTCTTAGGTTCAATGATTAATCATTCTTCAATATAATTTGAGTCCCACGTGTTCTTGGTAAAGTTTAACGTAGCATGAGTATTTACACCTGTCGTGTCATACATGAATAACTGGTGTTCTAACTTTTTGTCTTCAGTGTCGTCGTGACATAATGCCTATTACATTTTCTGCTTAATACGTTGATATATCGTACCGAAAATCCCCTCAATTTGTTCATACAAAAGTAGTCTCTAAACATCGAAAATAAGGTATACTATAGTGGAGTTAGTGGAGAGATGTCACCGGTGACCGCTTGCGGATTGAATAGTTAAAATTGTCCTTTCATTTTATAACTGATATACTTGCAAATTTTATTATATGAGTTTGATGAACTTTATTGTAAAATTTTGCTTATATTATTATGTTAATTAATCTCTCCGAGTTAAAACTTTACCAACCGATTAGACGGTTAAGTTTAACGTATATAGTCAAATATTTCAAAGTTTTCAACCGACTTCCCAAAAATGAGGAGGTTATATTATTTAATGTCTGGATTAAATTGTGATCCTTAGGTACAGCAATAGTTATGTATCACCCACGTTACTTTCTGTAATATTTATAATGCAGTTAATGCAATATTTTTTTATATTCTTATTAATACTGCCTGCAAAAATAAATTTATCAAACATTGTAGGAAATTCCTGTGATACCACAATTATAAAAAATCGGAATCAAATATTGTTTTAATTATTTGGGGCCATAAAACATTGATAACCTCAAGATTTAATCGTGATATCAATTCAATAAAATATACTCAAAAAAACCCACAACAGTTGAACGCTAAAACTTCTTGGTACAAGACCTATGGCTGTTAACACGCCGTTCCGCCCTGCCACACGTCCATTACCGCGTCTCACTTGGCTGGCTTTACTGTCCTATTATATATTAACATACGTAAAATTATTATATTTTACGACGCCTGCTATCTTTATAAAACACCACTCATTAGTATCATCACGGGGTTATTGTGCATTTGCTGCTGTAAATGAGATATCAAGAATTCAAGACACATTTTATTCGTCTGTATGTAGTTTTTATGGAGTATAGCACACGTTTTGTAATTTTAGTA